GCACACTCACACACACCCACTCGCACTCGCTCACACACTCGCACGCACACACGCACGCACACACACACACTCGCACGCACACACACACACACACTCGCACGCACACACGCACACACACACACACACACACACACACACACACACACATCATACGTTACTGATGTGCTCCTGTGTTCTTCTGAGTCTCTGCAGCTCCGGTGTGTCTGTGACGATACTGAAGCCTCGGCCTTTGCTCTCCTCAAAGTCTCGCTTATATCTCACCTGCAAACATCATGAGGACAGGACACTGCTCAATCAGTCACAGAGCCATTCTGACAGTAAATATCAGTGACTCTCGCCGTCACACCAATACTGTGATCACAGTCTGTCTGATCCAAACACACGCATGTGACTGACAGCAACAGCTCAGAGTGAGCGAATGAGCGAATCACTTCCTGCAGGACTGAGATTCTTCTAGCAGATTCAAACTGACTGAACAAACGACTCGCAGTGATTCTTCTAGCAGATTCAAACTTCATGATGAGCAGAAGCACTGTGTGAATCACATATTTTACAGTGAGCGCAGTGTTTTATGATCCGATCAGAACAGAGCCGTGACCAGTTTTTAGGTCACAATCCTCTGATGTAAAACACAGACACACTGCGCTGCGATATGTGGGACATCAGCGTCGATCTCACGGCTCAATCGACTGAACATAACGAGCGAACGCGGCCGGAGATCCGAACGAACTCATCTGAACGCCTGGAAACACAAACAATGCAGAACGTGAAACATTTACCACTCAAAGCGCTTCTCTGTTCAGTTCCCAGATTGGCTCAGAGTTTCGCATGGAGAATAATCTTTGTGATCAAACGTCAATGTGTAATCAATAACAGACGTGTGACGCCGGTGTTTCTGCTCTACATGAACATCCAGAAGAGTCAAAGGAAGATGGCGCAGAAATCTGGGTGTGACGCTCACCTGACTCTGTAGCTCACTCTGCTGCTTCAGACGCAGGTTCTCCGGTGTGTCCGTCACGATAGTGAACGACGTCTTCGGATAGTGACTGCAAACAAAACACAAACAACTTACAGTTTTTTTTCAACTGCTTACACACATTTTCAAATCTGATCTTCAATCTGAGTCGTTTATACTGTCAGACGCCACATACAAGGTCCTGCTGAACGTCTGCTGTGTGATTCACAGAAATAAAGATCATACGAGTAAACGTGTCATGTTTGGGTGGATTTTTCCTTTAACGCTCGACGAGAGCTAAAAATGAGTCTGTTCTCCTGTGACGCGCCGATAACCTTTCTGCTCTAATCACAGTAATAATCATCGTCAAACTCTGGAAATAATACAATGGCTTGTTTTCACTGCTATTGTGTGATAAAAATAAAGCATGAATGCCCATTGAATCAGCTGAACGTTTCCCTGGCAACCCCTGACCCCGCCCCCAAACACATACAACCAATCAGCTCCCGATCGCACGGGTGCAGCTGTCAATCAAACATCAGGACAGGAAGTGAGGAAGTGACTGCTTCCTGAGGGAAGAACATTTCTCATGAGCCTCCATCTCTGCCTGCGTGAGTTCAGAAAAGAGTGTGAAACTGAAGTGAATCTGAATCCAGATCACATGCAGTATTTGTTCTTGGAGCTTCCTGGTGGTTCAGTCACACAGAAGAAGCCCAAAGCAGAGTTTGTTTGGTATCTGAGTGTGTTTCTGTGTCCCGGACGCCCTGCAATTACAGCTCATAAACCAGAGCAGAGCGACTCTCTGGAGACACGCTAACGACCATCTGACGAGTTTAACCTTCCTGAAGACTCTTCTGCTCACCAAGACTGTATCTGTTTGATTCAAAAATATTGAATAACTGTTTTCAAATCAGCATATTAGAATGATTTCTGAAGATCATGTGACACTGAAGACTGGAGGAATGATGCTGAAAATACAGCTGCGCATCACAGAAATACATTACAGTTTAACAGAGATTCACATAGAGAACAGCTGTTTTAATTGTAATAATATTTCACAATTTTTACTGTATTTTCAAATAAACACAGCCTTGGTGAGCAGAAGAGACTTCTTTCAGAAAAATAAAAAGCCTTAATTATTCCAAACCTTTGAACAGTACTTCTAAAGTTTGGTGGAATAAACACACAAAAGAGGAAACTCTCCCGTCACACAGCAGCACAAAGTTCATTTGAAGATTCACAGCATGAAGCAGCCAGTGTGTGTGTGTGTGTGTGTGTGTGTGTGTGTGTGTGTGTGTGTGTGTGTGTGTGTGTG